GCATAAAGAGTGATTGAAGAAAGATGGTTTTTTTACCTATTTTTGGGCTCTTAATTTTTGGACTGAACATGTACCAAATCGTTTGAAAATCATATCTGAATAAGTGTGATGTCGAATTGATCCTAGCTTCATCGGCTGGATCGAGACGCATTGCATATAATTCAATTGCATGCATCACTCATATTGGCCGGTTTCTAGTAATTTTTAACTGCTTTACTAATGAAATTATATTAATCTTAAATTAGCCAATTAGCGATGTGAGCAATTTGAATGATATACCTTTCGATCAACTTTCTTAAAATACCGGATCTCACAGATCTATGATAATTCGATAACGGACTTTGATTCCACACTCCCTCCTCCCCAACTCTGATAATTAGATGTAACGGGAAAAACGCCACGAACTTTTTCCCACATCTAATAATTGTCATCCCAATTTGAAACTTCTCTGTGATTAATGTTTTATTACAAGGTAAAATTTGGCACACAATTCAGTCACAAAATTGAAGGCTTAAAGACAGATGATTTTTTTCACTTTTTTAATTGACTTACCAGAATTTTGTCTTTAAAAATCCTTTCTTATTTAAAGTTTATCTCTTTTAAATTTACGGTGAAAGTGATAAACATTGTATTCATCGTATTTTTCGAAATTTTTCGGAATTCGCATCTACATCTCCTTATCGTTGAGTGATATTAAACTGATAATTGATAAATTGCTTACGTCATCTGGTTAAAATACAGAAGTCCGATCTTCGGTGTCATCATTATTCGGACTGTTCGGAATAATCGATTTCTGTTATTCGAACGAAAAACTATGGTATGCGCTTGGTATATGGACAGCAGCGATGTTGATCAAAGATTGGAACACCACAGGCAACCGCCAGAATATGTTTCGCTGGATAGCCTATTCGCCGCAACGGGCGTGGAATATTTTGAGGTTAGAAATGCCGATTTTTGAGATCGTTTATTGCGAATATTTGATTTTAACTAATGGTATCTTTCCACTATGATGGTATTAACCGTCTCATGCCCGATTGAGTCGTATTTTGAAAATATTATTTAACGTTATTTATGAAAATACATTAACAAGATGGTACGTAATTATTGCCAATCTCAATATCCAATCACGATCAGCTGATGTTGGAGCTGAATGTTGATATGAATTTTGTGTATATATGCAATAACATATACCATTTTCCATATTGTTAAATGCTAAAACGTCGCTTATATTCTTATACATATTATATTATATAATGTATTATATAACATATTGTATGACATGTCCATATTTCTCTTTATTTTTTTTCTAAAAGATACATATTTGATACATGTACTCTCTATGCTCGTTATTAGCCTTTAACTTAAATTGAATCCAAAAAGTACAACTAAAAATAAATATAAGATAGATCTGATTATTTATGTAATTTTCTTCAATTGTAAATCTTATAAACCTTCATTATTTTTATATTATTATTTATATTATTATTTTTATATTATTATTAGTATTTAATGTTATTTTAACATCCGTACATTATAATAATACATATTATTTTAATAAAAATGAAAATAAAAATTTTGTAAAAAAATAACATGCATGTTTATAGTGAATAGAATTTTACGAGTAACATAAATTTACTGTATCATATTATTGTATACGTTGTATATCCATATACAATTTATTTTACAGATAAATCATCTAAATTATGAAGTAGATGTTACTCTGAAAGAACTACGACAGAAACGCGGTTACACATACGAAGATGAGTTAACATGTTCCAAAGAATGCTTAGAAAATTATGAAGAGAAGGTACAAAAAATATTTCTATTTTTAGTCATTATTATTCATTAAAAAAATATCAAGATTTTTAATTGATTGATCATATATGTTTTTATATATTTAATAACGCATATTTCTTCAATACCTTTAATTACATTAATGCCCCTCCATCTGATTTTGATTTTTAGTTAAAAATTTTCTTCACCGAACATCTTCATACCGACGAGGAGATACGACTGGTTCTGGATGGTTCAGGCTATTTCGACGTGCGGGATAAGGATGATCAATGGATCCGAATTAAAGTAACGGCTGGCGATCTATTAATCATACCCAGTGGAATTTATCATCGTTTCACTCTGGATACTAACGTAAGAATATTTACAAATGCTTACAACTTTTCACATCTGATCTCTGACTTATTTATTTTTCTTCTTCTGTCAATCTTTGTTTAAACATTTAAAGAAATATCCTTTTTCTGTTTAGTAGATATCAAACAAATCTCTAATTCAGAATAAATTTAAAATAAATTTCTAATATAATAAATTTCTATATAATAAATGAATAAATCTCTAATTTCTAAGAAAATTTTTAGAATTATATAAGAGCAAAGAGATATTTTGTGGGAGAGCCAGTTTGGTTGTCATATAATAGACCAGCCGAGAGCATGGAATGCCGCAAGCAGTATCTCAATAATTTACAAAAAGGTTTTGAAGTATCTTTACCTTGATAATCCCATAGAATACTGCTACACGTGAGCTTCTACGAGAAAATATATTTTTTATATCTATCTATTGAATCTATTCTATTGAACATTAAATGTGAAGTTACCAATTAATCATATTTAA